TGTTAATTTTAATAAATCTCTTGTCTAAAAGATGATTTTGCTCAATGTTTCTGTCTGAACACTCTCTCCTCTTTCTCCCTAAAATCCAGCATACTTATTGAGGGAAGAAAGGATAAAACAAGTGAACTGATTTAGTACATGATGGAAGAAGTGTGGAACAAAGCAAAATCCCTCAAGAATCAATCCCTTGCTTCATGCTCCGCCTATTCTCCACTTCTGCTGGTTCCTTCTATACTTTCAATTGCCACTTGCCATTTGAATGCTTCTAATTCTGTAATTCTCTCTGCACTTCTTTGCCTAGGCCACTTCAACTAATGCCTACCTAGCATCAGCTAATTACTCAGGATTCAGCTCCAATGTGTGGAAAATGTCACTTCATCAGAGGTCTTGTCATAATGGTTGTTTGTCTCTTTTGCACTGAACCAAATAATCAGGAAAGCAAGTAATGTGTCTGTTTTTAGTCGCTATTTTAGGGGTAGGGGGATGACTTTGCAGGCTGAGTTATCTCTTGAATAAATCCACGTATATTCAGAAAGGAATGAACAAGGGTGAGGCTGGTGCGTAGGGAGCTATGAGTTATCAGAGGGGTCTAGGTCTATGTAACAAGTTCCACTGCAGGTTATAATGCATGGTTGGTTGGTTGGTTTTTATAATGATGAGGTTCTCATGGCTAACAATATTAGGTCTCATCAACTTAGACTGTAGCTACCGCACACATCAATCTATTGTTACAGCTACCAGAATGTCTCAGCGGAAGGACTTATGCATGTATGCCTCCAGACTTCAAGATAAGACAGCAGGACAGAACAGGTGGTAGATGAGCCAACTGGTCTAAAATACTGCAACGTTTCTATCAAGCATGACAGAGTAATTTGCACAGCTGGAGGAACCATATGTAAAAGAGGTTTTTGCTATGGGCTTAAGTTTCATTTTTGGTGTTCTGTTTTTAGAAGGGATTGAGAACTTATATTCAAAAGAAGAATGAATAAAATCAGTAAGGCTTTAACTTGAGTCCATCTAGGAAACAAAGTTTCCATTTGCTGTGTTGTCAGGCAGTACTATGATGATGTCAGCAGAACATAGAATGCTGCTGTATGTTTACAATGTGATGACGCTAAATGGAGAAAAACAATGCATAAAACATGTAAGTGTAAGTAAAACACAAAGGGAGTTAGGAGCATATGCTAGATTGGCTTGGTTGGTTTTCTTTTTCTTTCTCTATCTTGCCATATTATTTTTATAAAAAGTTAAAGTACAAAACATTTTAACACAAATAAACATCATTATAAATGAAAACAGAATTAAATTTTTCACCCACTGCATGTTCTCAACCATAAAATATAATGACGACAAATGTGAGTCACTTTAAGAGAATAATTTTTATTATAAAGGTTTTCATGATAAGGTAAGTTGAATGTATATGTGCACTATATATGAATTACGGTTTTTCTTTAGAAAAAAAGAGTTCTTTTGCCTATTGTTTCTGAGCATAATTTTCAACAGTGAGTACACTGGTGATGCTCTAGCCATAAAATATTACTTAATGAAGAGATTTTTGTCAAAAATACTTAAAATAACGAAATAAATCATTTACTTTTATATTTATGGACAACTATGATTTTATAAGACAAGCCTCACACATGGATGGGGGTAGAATACTCAAAAAATGTCAGAATAATTGTTATAACTTGTTCTTAAAAGTATGGGGTGAAAAGTAAACACTGACTCATATATCAGTCTCCCTTCAAACTACAATATATTCCCTATTGTATTGTAAAGTGTGTTTTGTGTCAATATGCACATCATATAGTACAATGTAAAGCTCATAACTAAATTTATAAATGCTTTGATCAAGCGAATGAGTGTCCTTAGAGCAAAAATGACAGATACATCATTACATACATCACATTCCAAGTGATAGCTAGTGATCCTTAATTTTTACATTAGATTGTTTTTCAATCTTTGTGAGTATAACTCATATTTTAAAAAAGCAAAGTCTTTAGTTGAAGATAATCAGCGATTAAGAAAGGGTGAACATGACAAAACAGTAAAGTTTCTATCAAGAATAAATTTAGGAAAGATATAGTGTGATACAGGCAGAAAACACATAACCTAGAAAAAATTGAAAACCATTTCAATAAGGTATTTCCTTCAATTCAATTTTTCTGGACCAACTGTCTGATCTGCATGCTTGGCCTGGGCCTTCTGAGAGGAATAGCATGTTTCTTTGGGGGCAGCCAGTCATTGAGAGTGCTACACTAAAAGGTAATGAGTTCCTCACCTCTGAGTTTTAAATGTCCCCAAAGAATCAGTTATTAAAGTCACTCCTACTTTTCTCTCTTCTTTCCCAAATAAGAATAGACATGGAAAAATAGTCATTTTACATGGGTAACATGATCACTTGAGTGGGATTTTAAGATGTATTAACCTTCATGGCTTTTGCTAAACAAAGGGGACCTTGAAAAAAAAAATACTTTTGAAACAGTGGAGCTTAATCATCACCTCAGCTGTACTTGCTCTGGGGTTTTGTGGTCTATGTAGAAGTATAAAGGCATTAACAGAAACTTAAACCAGCTAGAAGGTGTTCCTAGTTTCCATTGCGCAGGCAAGCCTTTAAAAGGGCCACAAGAACCAAGTGAGTGTAAGATATATTAACAGGGAAGAAAGTCAGTGAGAGAAAGAGACAATAGTGCTGGCACAAGCAGACATTTAAGTTTGCTGGCGCCGGTAAAAGGCGTCCATACCCTGCAGAGATTCATTGTTAGCTTCCGCCTAGGTAGGGACCTCCGACTGAGGGATGACTAATGCTTCGGGCACCTTCTCATGCTATTTGTTAGCACTAGATAGAGTATTAACAGTGCAAAAGGCATGACCGCAACTACTCTAAATTTGTTTGGTGTGAGACAATGTCAAGGAATAAACTTATACTCATTCCTTAACATTAAAGAATATTCAGAAGGCATTCACTTGGTTTTAGAAATAAGCCACTTACGTTAAATCTATTCTGAACGAAATTTGCTGAGACAATGAATGTATCTTGTGAGGCAGCTTATCAATCAGCAGGCCCTCTGAAAGTTGGCTATTCATCAGCGATCGATCAGATTAGCAACTGATCTAATAAGAGGTCTCTATAACCAAGTTTGATCCAGTTAATAGTTGATCTAATTGGTGACTAATCTGACTTGTGATCAATCCCATCTGGTGGCTGAGCCAATCTATGGCTAACCAAATCAATAATTCCCATCAAGCTTATGGTTACTGATTAGGTCAGTGGCTAACTTAATCAGAATTTGACCAATTCACCACATACACAAGAGCAACTTAGGAGATAGATGGGCTGATCTGTTTAATTTCTGTCATCAGCCCCTAATTATCATCTATATCAAATTATGTTGTATGCACTAAGACTGTATGTTTGTTTCATGATGTCCAAATTATAGTTCAGCAAATCTCCTGTTCAAAAAAAAATTTGGAAGTATCTTAATATAGACAGTTATTTCGTTATTTTTTTGTTCCTTAACCATAATTCTTTGGCCAACCTGTGACTGTTTTATAAAAAGATATCTATGGGTATTTTATAGCCTAAGTATAATTTAATGATATTCTATAAACATGACAGCTTTACTTATATAAAACTAAAGACTTCTTAGTCATGTAAAATATTTTATAATATATAGAATAATTATTTTCTGTTATCATAGTCCTATGTCAAATTAAAGCATGTTTCCAAAGATTACTTCAACAAGGTCATTCACCTTTGAAACACTTTATGATTTACAAAGAACTTTCTCATAATGTCATCAATTAAAACGCAACAGTAGCTGCCACTTTAGAGATGTGCTGAGGGTGAGGCTGAGAAACAGGTGTTGGGAGTCATGAACAAGAGTGAAAGCAGGAACAAAGGCCTGTAGTCTTTGTTCAAATTCATATTACAGCGTGACAAATTATGGCCAACTCTTCCTTCTAACAGTCTGACCCTGGATTAAGTATACTTGTTTCCTTATTCCCTAGAAGTGAAGCGTGAGCAAGTGAACGCATGAGTGGTCAGAATTCATCAACCGTCACACTGTTATGTCTCCAAAGTCACCAAATACAAAGCGGGGTCACACTCACAGTCACTTTCCCATCACTGATAATTTTAAAGCTGAGATTGGGCTCCACTTTTCCTCGAATAACATTACTATAAAAATCATCTAACCAAAGCTGTAAGAAAACAGATTAATGTATAGCCATGTAGATAGACTATGTCCTGTAAGATGGTTATCTTTTTCTGTAAGTCTAAAACAGCTGTTCATGTTTTTAAGATGACCATCCGTCATCTCATTTACATACCTGTATGTATAAAAGACATTAACATGGAGTGCAATTCTTGATATATTACTCTTAGGCCAAATGTTATTTTCACGGACTCTTAGAGAAAAAAAATATTTTATTTCTTTTGTGATTGAGGATATTACAGGTTTAGTAATCAAACGTTGGCATGAACTATGGACTTAACACTAAATTTCAATCTGTTTAATCATTTTGCTATTCTATAGGATGTAAAATATCAGTTTGTACTGAGTGAAAGAGGGAAGGACTATGAAGACCACTGTTTTAGTTTTCAATATAACCTATATTTTTGAAATAAAAAGAATCTTGAATATATTAAATCTTTGCCAAAAAGCTTTGGCAAAGCTTTGTTTTATAGCAAGTTATCCTTGAAAAAGAATTAATGTTCATACAAAATTGTAAACACTTAGCATCTAATATCATCAGAAAACATTTTCAGTCTGACAATTACATGTTCCATTGTGAGTGTCTGTATTGGTTGATTGTCACAAAAGAGTTCATGTTGAAAAGAATCACACTAAACAAGCATATTGTATAACAAGTACATTGTTTGCTTAAGTTTTCTTTTAAAGTAAACAGATTCTTACTGCCAAAAGTCCAGATATTTCACCTTGCCCTATTAAAATCATTTTTATCAAGATGAAGTTCCCAAAATGAATCTCACTTACTTTGCTTTCGCTTCTGCATCCTCATAGGCCTTGTTAGAGACATCATCCAGTCCTCCAATCAAATGCTTGAAAGAGCTGTCAAAGAAAGAGCAGAGTGGTCAAGCGGAGTCTCCTGAAGGTTGAAATAATGGCAAGCAGACATTCAGAGTGAAATGATTTAAAGCCGTCTTAATAAGAGCAAATTCAAACAATCTAGAAACATTGCTCAGAAATACATCAGGCTGCAGAATTACCTCTGACTCCGTGATAAACATTACGAGATCAGGGTCTCTTCTATCCGGTCAACCTCTGTACTCCACACCTAATCATATTTATCAACCATGTCTGGCAAAAACAGACATTGAGCCAACTGTGTGGAATAAAATCTAGACTCTGCTAATTGCTAGTTAATTTTGTATCCAACTGTTATAACAACAAAACCAGCCAATAAACGAATGCCTACTCTGTTGGTTAACCAGGATCAATTTTTATTATTTTTAATGCAAACTGTAGAAAGCAAGCAGTAGCTTCATCTCCATTTGAAAGAAAGCAAATAATCATCATTGGCAAAGTAAAAATTATAGAAAAATAAGCTCATTTGAGAACGTGAAAATAAATTGACTTTCTCATGAAGTAGGAAGATTAACCACACAAAGCCAACCAATTCAATATCTACTGTATATCTAGAACTGTCTTTAGAATTATTTTATATACTGAAGTATCGTCTATCATATGCTTAAAATATAAAATGTTATAGAGGTAATACGTCACTGGAGGAAATGGTTCACATGGGCCAGGTCCTTAGCAATATCTAGCCTCTGGTACCTACTTGCTTTCTGTTTGCCTCAACTACCTACTATGATATTCTGCCTATAATTTTTGTTGTGGTTATATTCTCATGAAGCTGGAGCCAGGAAACAGAAACCTAATTTTTTGCTCAAATAATAAAATGTCACGTTTTTTTTTTCTTGTTTTAGGAAATTTTTTTTTCTCACACAATAATCCTGATTATAGTTTTTTCTCCCTCTATGCTTCTCAGTTCTTCCCTCCTCTACTCCCATCTGGATCCACTCCCTTTCTGTCTCCCATGAGAAAACAAACAGGCTTCCGAGGCCACAGCCGGGACAGAAATTGAATAAATTGTAATAAACGATAATAATAATAAGTTAAAATGTAATATAATAAGACAACACAAAAAAGAACAGATCAGAGTTAGACAAAACAAATAGAAAAAAAAGGGTCTAAGAGAAGGCACGAGATCAGATACCCAGTAGTTTGCATACTCAGGAATCTCATAAAAGCACTAAACTGGAAGCCAAAATATATATTCAGAGGATCTGGTACAGACCCATGCAGGCCCTGTGCATGCTGCCTCAGTCTCTGTGAGTTCATACGAGTTTTGAGCTTGTTGATTTAGAGGTCCTTGTTTTCTTTGTGTCCTCCCTCCCCTCTGGCTCTTACACAATTCCTACCCCCTATTCCACTGGGTTCCCTGAGCCCCTGAGTAAAAGATTTGATGAAAACCTCCCATTTTGGGCTGAGCGTTCTAAGGTCTCTCACTGTGCATAAGGTCTGGTTGTGGGTTTCTGTGTTTGTTCCCACCTGCTACAGGAGGAAGCCTCTCGGATGATGGCTGAGTAAGGCACTAACCTATCAGTATAGGAGAATGTCACCAGGAGTAATTTTATTGCTACTTTTTTCTTTGTTTTAAGAACAGTAGTTTTGGGTTTTACCCTATGTCCCTGGGCTGTCTAGTTTTTTTTGAGATGATTTTTTCCAATCCTAAAGTCCAGGCTAGCCTAGAATTTGCTATGCAACAAGAGTTGTCTTGAACTCATGGTCTTTCTTCCACAGCCTTCTGGCTGGTAGGATTAAAAGTGTGTGACACTACCGCCAGCACAACTATTCTTTATAGGATTAATTTTCTTACTTTCTTGTAGAATGTATTGGTCCACACCTAAACTTGGAGAAAAAGTCTAATTTCAGAGAAACTCTAATGTCCATAAATGTCCCAGTGCCGCCTTGTTATTGATTAGAATTATAGTCATTAAATAGTTATGATTCAATATTATTTTAACTGTACTTTATAACATATTTAATTTTATTTTTTAAAAATTTAAATAATATTTTAGCAGCTAATAGGTCATTGTATACACATTTGTCATGGAATATCTATCTCTGTATCTTTGTGTGTGTGTATATATATATGATTGATATATGATATATGATGATATATAATATATAATAATATATAATAATATATATTACATATGTGCAAACATATAGACACATATGTTCAGTGAAACAGGAAGTGTGATAACTGTGAACTCAAATATAAATATTCATATTCTAGATTGTATATTGAGCATACAGAATATTTTTCATGATAAACATTTTGCCTTTAGGCATTTAGGGCCATATATTATTTGTGAATAATTTTTGTTCAAAGGGAAATCTAAGTCAAAAGAATATTGAAACAATTAATAACTAGATCCTGATAAAATAGTAAATCTTTTTTAAACAAAAAGATTATTATATTATATTAATTATATTATATTATATTATATTATATTATATTATATTATATTATAT